GAAGTGGTATCTCATGATCAGCAAAGGAAGTTCAAAGTGAATGGACAATGGTTGAAGGCTTATTGGGGAGGTGACTAGTACGGTGAGAAAACAACGATGCCACTCAATCCTGAAGACTAGCCTCAACAACGAAGTCGAGCTAAAGACTTTAAACAAGCGCTGGTTGGGAGGCAACCCAACACTTCTATCCCTTTCATTTATTTTGCTTTTAGAATAATTTAAGGTAATTGATATTAGTTTTCCTTTTATTATTATTCAATTTTAGGACTCATCATCCATACCTCGTTTTTCCTTATATCTTCGATATGTTAGTTTGTTTAATAGTTGTCAAAGCTAAGTAAAACTTGTTCCAGGTATTCGGTCTTGAATGTTTTATTTGACTGTTTTGCGTAGGAACATGGGAGCAATAGGACAGCTAGCCTTCGGATTCCAAGCCATATCAGGGGAGTCTTTTTCATCATTTTCTTCCCTACCCCTTTTTATGCGAAATTATGATTTATGACATAGAGGACAATGTCTACTTTAAATTTGAGGGTGGAAAACATGAGTTTTCCTTTGTTTTTATTTGATGGTGTGTGCTTTTATTACCTAAAAAAATAAAAAGTTTTATTATTTATTTATTTTTATGTGTTTTCGCATGCTTGTGTGGATCAGATAGTCTGCTAACGATGATATATTTATTGGAACATAGAGTTGGACTATAAATTATGGATAAGTTATATGTTAAGTTAGTTTGTGCTTATTTATGTAGAATTTTATATTTTTTAGCACAAGATTTATGTTTTGTATTGTGAAAAAAATAATTTGATTCATATTGTAGAGTTGGCTGACAATAATGGACCATAGATGCTAAATCCAAATAACCTATATACTATACATCCTTAAACCAAGTTTTAGATAGTTTGAGGGAGATTGAGCTGTTGTAGGGAGACATTGAGAATAGATGTGAATTTCATGTGTTTTAAATTTTGTGTGGATTGTCTAAGACTAAGAAGATGAAAATTAGGTTAAAGTCTTAATTTGCGGGTCGATTTTTGAAAATGAGTGTTTAAGGGGTATTGCACGAATCAAAAAAAAGAAATAAAAAAATAAAAAAAATCAATGCTCATATTGTGAAACTTCTTTTTGTAGCCTTTATGACTCGAGTGATTACGTCTGTAAGGATCTTTAAAAAACTGGTGCCCTATGGTCGTCTGACTTTGGAGTCATCGGCTGAAAGCTCGTTACAAGGGTCATTTAGAAAGCTTAATGGAGAGGAGTGCCAAAAAAAAAATTGCTACACGTCTTGAGTAAGCCTCGAACACTCATTTGAGAGAAGTGGACTTTTGACGAGGGATTATTAACTTAATTGATTCTTAGAGATTGAAGCAATCAAAAATAAGGAGAATCCGCATTTGTTGACGTGTTAAGCTGTAATTAGTAAAATCGAATCAAACTAGAGAGGGTGAGGATTGGTATTATATCACACATTCAACCTTATATCGCACCTTGGAAAGAGAGTGAAAAGAATGAAGTTTGGGGTGTGTATCTTACGAGCGAAGAAAGGAACTACTTGACCATAAAGGGTCGGGAATTGAATCAATTTATGACTTTGTAATGCTTTACATGCATCTTCACACACACGTCGATTTTACGTTGAATAGGTAGAAATTGATTTAGCATTGTGATTTTGAAATAGTTTATAGTTTCAACTCTGAAAGTCCAATCAGACTTTGTAATGCTTTACATGAATCTTCACACACACTCTCGGCAATTTAACATTTTATAGGTAGAGATTGATTTAGCATTGTGATTTTGATATTGTTTATAGTTTCAACTCTGAAAGTCCAATCCTGAGGCTAAAAGAAAAAGATTCAAGTTTGGGGGTTTGATAAGTGTATTTTCTACACTTATTCGGGACTTGAAACCATATAATTTTATTGTTCTTTTGGCAAAATACAACCTAAATTGTATTATATTGCATCTTGTAGGTAAAACTCAATGTTGGATAAAGAATTAGAGAAAACAAGCGAAATGTGTCGAAAAATGGAAAAATCCAAAGTAAGGGAATCAAAGTCTACACTATAGAAATTGAGGGACTAAATTGCATGGATTTGAAAGATTGGAGGACTTGGAGAAATACAAGAATTACTTGGGCCTTTGAAAGTCTAATTGGACCGCAAAAGAGAGGGTTTCCTAGGGCGAAAGGAAGAAATACAGAGAGAGGAGTCGGAAATCCAATACAATTACCCTCATTTGATTTAATACAATTTTTATTGCTTTCGTAGTTATAGAACGTAGTTGACTAAAAATCAATCATCTTTTGTTATATTTGCGAATTTAAATACATTGAATACTCTAAAATTGAGCTTTATTCTCCGTGGGACGATAACTCACTCATCACAATTATTACTTGTACAATGAATCCGTACACTTGCGGGATTTTCACGTAACAGTCACGATGATGATCTTCTGTGTTAATTAAATTAACCTTATGCCATTAGCTTACAAAAAAAAAGCTAATATTGTTAAGTTTTAATTTATGCCACTCTTCAATAAAGTAATCGCCTTGCAAGTGCATCATTAACAAAACATAACATGAAAGCCCCTTTTTTCCTGCGTGAGAATGAAGATACATTGCCAAACACGCAAAGGAACCCATAATTTTCTTACCTACCAAACAATTTCTTAGAAAAATATTTTATTCACAAAATAGAAAATTTACGGACTTACCTTTCTTTGGGGTTTCCACTGGTAGCTACACTAGCAGCGACCACATTACTCGTCTTCAACACCGCATGCGGGGGTGGTGGTGATGGTTGATGATGCTGCTGAGACGGGGGAGGCTGATGGGTAGCCGGTGGGTACCCGTAATTCTCCGGGGGATGGACCGCGATATTTGGTTGGGCGGAAGGACCGGGGTGGAAATTAGGGGTGTGTTGAAGGGCGAAATGGTCCTTTTGCTGATTCTGGTGAGAGAGGATATTGGGGGCCTGGCTTTGGAGGAGGATGAAACTGTGGATCTGGTTACGAATGAAGTCTATTTTGTGCCTTAAATCGAAACCTATCTTCGACTCGAGCTGTCGAACGACATCGTTCAGGGAGGCGAAAGAGTTGTTGCTTGTGCAATCGCGGAGGAGAGAAACCAGCGCCTCCGCTATTTCCTGGTCGGACGACACAACTCCACCGCCGTCCGCCGGTGGTGCTCCCCCGCTCTCACTCATCCCTTATATATTACCAACTTGCCACTGCTTTACCGTTTAAAGAAATTCAATGCCTCTCTCTCTCTTCTTTCTACAATCGGTTTCACTCTCATTCTCTCTGCGCTCTTTATCTCTGTTACATAAGTCGAAATGACGGAAATGCACTTTAAGGGAATATGGTCACTTGGTTGTGACGCAGTGTATTGTAACAACCAATGAAAAATTGACACGTTGTGTAGATTTCAGCTTAAAAGAGTGCAAATTTCCTTTATGGGGACCCGTCAATTGCAGTGATGCAGTGGGCTGTAACAGACATGGAGAAATTGACACGTAATGGAAATATGACCCTGTCACCCTGGGAGATAATTCTGGGCCACGTGTGATGCAATAGACAGTTACTTCGTTTGGATCAAATTTAGAGCCTGTTTGGTACAGATTCTCATTTTCTACAGTAAATCAATTCTCATTTTCAACCACACATTTTTCAATAAAATAATATTTTCCATTACATCAATATTTTTTTCTTCTTTTTCAACCACACATTTTCCATTATATTATTATTCAAAAATCAATTCTTCCCCCAAAAATCCCTACCAAACACACTCTTATCCAGGCTTTTCCCATTTGTACCTAAGCAGCAACATAGATTGGCCATAATAGACTAAAACAGTGAATCCCACAAATATTGCAAAACATGGTGGATCCCCTATGCTTGTGTGTGGTCAGGTGTGTTTCTGTGGTGTACAATTTCTATACACTCCAGTAGAATTCATTTATCCATTGGGTTAGGGTATTAAGTAATGTTCTAAAACGTGTTGGATGGTACGAGACGTTAAACAGAATTTTAAAATGTGTGAAACCCCCCATGCATGGGGTATACATGTGATAATGTATACAATTCATTTGTTCACGGGCAGAAGCATGTTTAAACACTGAAATGCGCACGCATTTGTGTTTCAATTAACCTAGCAAAATCCTTAATTTTTATAATTTGAAGCAAATTGAGTCCAACAATATCAAATTAGCCTAAATCGCTCGACCCATAAAATCATATACAGCAATCTATATTGATATTTAGAAAAATCAGAACAAAATTTTGATAGAATTGCAAACTGTCTATACCGAACACAAGCCTCGTTTTTCTTCCATCTTCCTCTAGTTTCACTGTCGAGATCCTCATCAAGTTGCATAAACTTGAATGTGCATTTTTTATTTTTATATTGCTTACCTTATCAGAATTTTGGAGGTCATTTTTCTCCTCCAATTTTTAATGAACAAAAAAAAAAGGAATGATAAATTAGAAAGTTCACCAGTAATTGATGCTAGTAATTCATAATTTTGAATTTTTTATGATTGTGATAATGATGAGGAGGAGGTTACTAATGATATCTTACCATCCATAAGAGGTAATAGAAATTATTGAGTTGAAATAAAATAGCTCAATGAANTAAGAATTGAATATCAAGTGATTGTAGTATCTATGATTTTGAGTAATATGCATTTTTTTAATTTTAAAAATATATTTTACTTATTTATTATTTTAGAATATCTAAAATAACATTAAAAAGTAAAAAAGGGCACAAGTATATATATATACCTCGCATAAGAAACGCATATGTTTGTAATGATTAATACTTGATCAAAATGCATTGACACACATTACACATTTTAAAACATTTGTATTAAGTGAGGTGAGCCAACGAAAATTTGATCATGTGGGTCATTCGCTGAATCATGCGGGCTTGTTGGCTTACACATAATTTGACTCGTCGAATACAACTACCGTGCATCTTTTGTAAAAGAAAAAAATATATATGATGAGCCACGAGCTCGAAGGACAAGACAATCACAGTTTTATAGAGCAAGAGCGAGCCTCATATAATACCCCTGATTGGAGGTTCATAAATCACTATGGAAATGGAATAGTTTATTATCAGCATGTATTATTCCTTTTTTATTTTTTATTTTTTCTTCACCATTTTATAAAATCCTTCAAAAATAGTTCAATTAAATGTTTACCTACAGCGTGTTTGAAAGTCATGTATCGATACTTCTACAATCAACATCAGGGCCAAAATGACGATTGCTAATATAAAGAAATTATCAATATTCAAGATTCTCTCTCTTATAGTCTAAAATCTTTCTTTTCAATTCAACAATTTGAATTAATTGAAGTTTTTATAAGAAAAATATTACGAGAGCGGGTGTCTATGATCTAGATAAACCTGTAAGTGAAAGAAGAAATAGTTGTACGTTAAGGTTTCAGTGGAGTTGAACCTGTCCATAGTTTTCTTCCAGATCAGCCAAATTATGTCGTTCCTTACTCTTTGTTCAACCTTCCTCCACCGCTCTCCTCTTCTTAGTGCAAGATTCAAAAAGCAAGTTAATGGGGAGAGGTTCATGTTGAGACTGGGCCAAGTTCTCTTTTGGATCAACCTTCAAGTATGACATGGACATATGCGTGCAAGTATGAAGACGAAGAATGAACAACTTTGCAAGTAGTGAAGAGAAAAAGTCAAATGGTTCTTACAGGAACGTGAATTAAGCTAGTATATCTTTTTTTTACATCAATTTTGACAGTTCATATATATGGGAAATTTGGCAATTAATTGAAAAGAGTGTTGTTAAAAATCAATGTATAAAAAAACAGTCAATACATATGATATCAAATTTGTTGTACATATAGCAAGATTGATGGCAACATGTTGAATTAATCGTATTAGAGAGCTTCACTCATAACTAATTTATATTGAGTAGCTATTTTTTCCTTAAAATGCACAAAAAATATTAACTTACCTAATTGTGGAATTATAAACTTAAGCAAACACATTACTAGAATTCTAGATATTTTTTATTGTTTATAACATGAAAAATTAAAATCGGTACAAAATAATAAGGATATAACCATTTTGTGCAAATGAAAAGACAATTATTTTTCATTAAACGAAAATAATGTCATCCGATGTCAATTAAAAACATTGTTTTAGATTCTTAGAAACTCGTATATGCTTCATTTAGACGCGAAAGCTTAGACTTGTTGCCTCGCCACGCTTTTTATTTTACATCTAGACTTGCCAATCCCTGCTTGGGCTGGTAAAAAAGTTTAAAACTTAAACCTTATATGTTTTACTCTTTTTTGAATATCGATTAAAATAAGAAAAAAATGTTATTAAAGAAATTGGGAAAGAAGGTAAGAAATTATAAGTTTTAGTAATTTAATAAAATACAGCATAAAGTCCAAAATTATTATTTTTCCGACCTTGTATGAGAGATTTTTCTAATTCTTCAAAAAGAAGAGTGAATGAGCATCCGACATAATAAATCATGAATTAGCGTAATTTGTTGCATCATATAAGGTTTGGCAGATATTGTTGCATTTATATGTTTCAAAATCAGAATTTGAGCTTTTAATATAATAAAAAAGCTAAATATATTCTTAAGCATTTTGAGTTAGATTAAAGCAATCAGTATTTTATTATAATTATTCTCTATGCGATTTAATACTTCGATAATGTTTCATAATTATATCATTTTTAATACTATCAAATATATCATTCTCGGTATATGTAATTAAACTATCATTCAACCATTGATACGAGCTCATCAAAGAATTATGAGTCACGAAGGAAAGAAGCGAAGAGGTATATGACGACAAATATAAGCTTGTTAACTTGTGAAATATGTATATTGATCTTTAGATACGAGTTCCCAAAGTAAGGCTTGCGGATTAAAAAAGTACACGAAGCTTTTGTTGTCAACGACTTAAAAAGGACAATATTTTTTTAATTGAATTTTCATTCGCGAACTCTTCGAATACAACAATAAACTAACTCGTATTGTGAATACATTTAGGGTCTAGTATATGAAACTTTTATATCATTATGTTTGACCAACTGCACTATATTTAGCACATGTTGGCAATCATTATTTTCAAACTATTTTTTCTACATATTCATTTTAATCACACATTCATACAACCCATGTTCGGGCTCCACTATTTCACATTTTAATGATGAGAATAATAATTTTTTGGAGAATATATGGTTGAAAAATAAGGAAAAGTTGTTAGGTTTGCGTGTAATATTACTTTATTGAAAAATGCGTTATTGATAAGTAGAAAAAGAAAAATAAATTTTAATTTAACGTGGGTTAAACAGTGGCACAATAAAATATTCTGCTCGTAAACCCAATACCTTTTCATACTTTTTAATCACACATTCTTTTAACAATCACTATTTAAAACTCTATTTTTTCAAAATAATAGTTATCAAACGAGGGCTTATTAAAAAGTGATGCAAACAAAATTTTCTTCCATACATGCCATGTTTAGTCTTCATTCGCTTTGAATTTAATTACTTTGTTTTCTAATACAGATTAAACAAACTAACAATTCTTATAGTCAATATATTTGAACTCGGGTAGATCATTATTTTGTTTTCCTACATAAATAAAAGAGTGAGTTTACTTGGTACTATTCACAAGCCAATTGGCCAACTAAGCCTAGCCGAGTTGGTTTAGTCGGTGAAGTCAAACCATTGTCCTTCCTTTTTTATTACAGCTGTTTTATTTTTATTTAAAAACAATTCCCATCTCACACACAGCCATCAGTTCTTTCTTCTTTTCCATTTTTTCTCACTCTTTCTCCATTTCACGGGCAACAATCATTTCTTTCTTCTTTCCCATTTCTTCTCACTCTTTCTTCATTTCCCAAAACCACCGTTCTTCTTTTTTTTTTTCCCCATTAGGTTTCAACATTTCATTGTCTAATGTATGAGATTGAGCAAGAACAAGAAAGCTTTGTCATTTTCCTTTTTTCGATCTGAAATTCGAATGTTTCTGATTATCGAACGATCTCCGGATGCTCGTAGGGCTTAAGGAGCTCCGATCTGATATCGAACGAGGCCCCTCCTATTCATTGCTCGCATGTCGCTACCTCCGCAACTTTATTTTAAAGCCCTTTATACAGGCGAGTCCATGTTCCCCATTTAGCTCGACAATACATCTTTGCGATCAGTAGTTGATTCTGATTAACTCGAGCATTTAATTTGGAATTTTATGTTTCCTCCAGTGAATTCTAGTAATTGAGTTTGGTGTGGATGCCTTTTTTTTTTTTGTATTTGATACCGATTAACTTGAATATTTTATCTGCAATTTTCTCTTTCTTTTTATGAATTGTAGTTATTAGGTTTTGTGTGGATACATTTTTGCTATTCGTATTTGATTCTGATTAATTATACTGCAATTTCTCTTGGCATCCTGAATTCTAGCAATTGAATTTTGTGGTCACATTTTTGCGATTAGTATTTGGTTCTGATAATATGATTGATTAGAATGTTTCATCTGCAATTATTTATTCCCTCGAGGAATTTTAGGAATTGGGTTTTGTATGGAAACATTTCTGCTATTTGTAGTAGATTATGACGAATTGGAATAATTTATCTACAATTAAAACAAATGAATTGTGTTGGTAACTCCCCGAACTTCACAAAATTATTCAAATCCACAACGTATAACCATCAAGATAATGGACAATGTTGGCATGAGCCAGTTTCTCAATTTCTGAAGGCTAAAAAGAGGAAATAATTATTTGGAAGATTATATGCCAAATATATTATGTTACAACACTTTATTCTAACTTGTACAACTTAAGTGTGAAAATGGCCTTTTCACGTGACCTGGAAGCATATTTTTGATCAATTGACAAGGATAAACATAAATCGTCAAGCGAACAACTGGAAAATTGATGATATATTATTCATGTCACAATAAATTTGCATAATACTTCTCTGGCTTACTCATTTTGATCTCTGAATACTTCATCCTTATTTTTTTGTTTATTATAAAAGTGAGAATTGGAGAAATAGTGGATGATGAGAAGCCTATCAATGAGAATGGTGTGTCTAAACTGGCAAAAAAGAAGCGATAGTTATGATCGACAGCTTGTGGTCAAGGTTGGACATGATGTTCCTGTCTTGGAAAGTGAAGATGACTATGGATTTCCAGTATCTACAAGCCGAGAAATCAAAGATGATAATGCAGATGAGGAAGCCCTGAAAAAGAAACCAAAATTAAAGAGAAAAATTTATGCAATTGCCAGAGATGGAGAATATGCAATGTGGGATGAAGAAGAAAAATGATGTATAATAATTGGCCATTGATTGTTGAAGTGTGTTTATGATTTTCACTACTGCTGCTGATGATGACTTGGAACCAATTGTTGAGAGTGCATTTGAGAATGTAGAACAGAGTCAGAACCAATCTTTTCTGTTTCTTTCTTGTGGAGTATGTTTTATATAGTTATAGAGGATTGTTTAAACCTTGACTAACATGGTAGAGGGTGCAGTTATCTTGGAACACTTTGATCAGGTTGTTGGAGACTGCTTTATGGATTGTGTCAACTGCCTGATTGGATTTGCCAATAATAAGAGTTCTCACCGGATAAGTTTGAAGGCTATTGCGCTGCTCCGAATATGCGAGGATCGTTTTGCAGAGGTTTGTTTTGAATTTTCAGCATTCATTTTTATAACCGATCTTATTCATTTGAGAAATACAAAACAATAGTTTTGGTTCTGATTTCAGTTTTCTTTTACAGATTACAGCAGTTTGCTAAAAATTAGTTGATTTTACTGCAGTTTTCTTGTTGAAATTTTTTTACTCTTGCTCCAGAATATAGAGTAAAGATGGATTGGATAGATGAAAATAGATGAATGATAAAAAATCCATTTTTCTACATTAAATAGAATAAAATTTGTTTTTCTCTGTTGCAGATGAATTTTGCTTTTCAATGTAGAAATCACCATTTATTTACACATTACATTATTGTTTTAAGCTTTATCTTAGTATGTCAGATGTTTTAAATACTAAAACAATTAACTTTTTTTCTATAGTTACGCTATTGTATACTCAATTAAATCATGTCATGTACATTGCACGTGCATCTTACTAGTATTAAAATAAGTCACCTTTTTCTAAAAATGTATAGTTGTGATCCAAATTTTTGAGGTTGCTTACTTGTTACATCTCCATTCAGTATTTGTTTTTGTATGTCTTTAGTGTATCTAGCCCATGTTTAAGTCACATTATTTTACTCATTTTCAATCACGTATTTTTCATCACATCAATAATTTTTCATTTTTTTTCAACCACAACTCCGTTACATCAAACTAAAAAATGTATTCTTTAACTCAAAATATGCACCAAACAGGGGCTAGAAATCTATTCTAATCCTCATATAGCAACATAAAAGTTTGAGTAGTTACTATCTTAAATTTCTTCTTCTCCTTATTTTAAAAAAAATAAAATAAAAAATAGATGGTTTGATTATAGTCAAACAAAAACAATCTACTTATATTATATATATAAAAAAATCTAAATCTGAATTTTATTCATAAAAAAAGTCTTAAAAAAGCCTAAAAATGTCTAAATCTGATTTTTGATTTATTACAAAAAAAAAAAATCAAATTTAAGTTGGAAGTTGCGAGTCACATGACCCCACGGGATCCATTGTGGGTCCGTCAATATATATTCACACCGCATTTTTTAATATCTAGACTATATTTTAATTTTATGAAAGGTTCGAAATCTTTATACATCATCACATTCATCTCTCAATTTTTTTGTTGCATTTATATTCTGAAAATTAACATTAATTGTTCCTGCTTATCGTTTCTCTCCAAAATTTTCTTCAAGTTAGGGTAAAAAAATAATCATTTGCCTATTATATTTTTAAATAAACAAAACAAATAACAATGTTAAACGCGATTGAATATTTGACCCTCATTTTAAAATACGTTAATAGTATTTTGGACGAAAATCATTATTAAGGATGAGATCTGACCAATGAAATGTTAAAAATAAGAATGTGATGAAGAAAAAAATTATGAATACAAGTGTGATGATGAATAAATACTAGCAATCTTTAATCTAATTAAAATATGACGTGTTTATGTGCATGCGTATAATTACTAAAATGCACATTGGTTGTGATGCTTTTATTATTATTATTATTATTATTATATAACAATAAGTATCATTATAAAATATTTATCAAAGACGATATTATATCTATAATTTTTATTGAATTATTAATTTTTTGAAATTTGCGTGTAATATTATTTTATTAAATAATGTGTGATTGAAATGAAGTCAAATCACAGTTCAAAAATGCATTTTAATGAAAAAATAGGGCTCAAACAAGGGTTTATTATTAAAAGTTGATCACACTGTGTAACCATTTTATTTGCAATTTATAAAAAAGGGAACGTGCAATACATTTGAGAATATCACTTGGATACGAATGAATGAAATATTCCAATGATCTATCTTTTATTTAGAAAAAATAAAAAGACAATTGAAGAGTGATTCACAGGGTCATGGTTGAATTTTAATTAAATAATATCAATTTTTCTCTAAAAAAAGCTCGAATTTTGATCAACGATTCGATGAGATTTTACTCTTACTACTTCAACTAAATCTCGACCTCAAAAGGCGATAAATTTATCCCACATTTTCTTTTTAGAAAAAGTTAAATTGTTAATCATCTATTTATTTTTTCCAACATTTAAAAGAGCATATTAAATGATTATTCGGCAAAAAATCACTAAAATTTTATCAATTTTTTAATTTATCAAATTTCAATTTTAATCCTATATTTTATTAGGATTCATAATTTTTGACAATTACCATGCAATTTATAACATTGAATAATTTGCGACATAGGGATATTTGAGCAATACTACACTTATCGAAAACGGTTGACAAACACTTTGATCGAACACTCACAATAGGGGAGGGCCCACATTTTTTTAGAATTTTTTATTCACGCGTACGTGGGATCCGCACACATGTGAGAGATTGTGAAACTCGTTGTCATCAATTTTCGGTACAAATGGAAAAACCCGGGATATTTATCGAAACATTTAGAGTGTGTTTGGTAGAGATTTTTGGAGGAAGAATTGATTTTTGAATAGTGAAATGATGAGAAATGTGTAGTTGAAAAAGGAGAAAAAAAGTATTGATGTGATGAAAAATATTATTTTATTGAAGAATGTGTGATTGAAAATTAGAATTGATTTACTGTAAAAAATGAGAATTTGTACTAAACAGACCCTTAATAAGCCACAAAAATGACGATATAACAGTGTAAACCGAGACGATGAGCTGTTCAACAAACAGAGCGCGTTGTAATCTCTCACCCCAATAAAGCGCGTGGAGATCTCGCCTTATCAAAATGGGCCTCTATGCACTCCCCTCTTAAATGGCTCATGTTCTCTTCCTCATAGGCTTTGCGTGTCAGCTGCCCAAAATTTCATCTCTTTGCCCTTCGCTGAAGCAATTGCTAAAATATATGTATGTAAATTGGCAGATTATAGATTAATTTACAAAAAGAAGAAAAGGAAAACCCAGTTGCTGAAATATCGGATTTTCTTCCGGGTACGTATATCGCCCTGTTTCATTGCCTATTCAATCGCGAATTGCCTATAAATGGATGTATTAAGTAAATTGACGAAAGCCCAGTTACTGAATATAGGATTTTCAATAAGGGATTTATGTAGTTATCTCGGATTCAGCACAAAATACTTACTGCATGTGAACGTATTGGATTGTGATTTGTTTTGTGTGATTATATTTGTCAGGAGGTGAAGATATAATTTGAGATATATTGAAGTATTGGGTTATATTCCCTGGATCGAGACAATATTTAGAATCGTGGGTTGCTGATTAGTCGTATCATTGGCGTGCGTTCGATCATTTTCCCCGTGATTTGTGAAAGAGCCGGGGCATCGAGGAAATGTCTAGTTTTGTGGGAGTTATTGTGTCCGATCAATGGCTTCACAGCCAGTTTACACAAGTCGAACTTCGGAGCCTCAAATCCAAAGTAACTTCCGTTTAACCATTTTTTTTTTTTGGGTACCATTGTTGAATTGTGCGATGAAATAAATTTGCTTTCACGATGATAAGTTTGGACCTTGTTTTTGGGCATTGTCGTGTACTGAACTGATGTTTGAAATGTGGGGTTCTTGTTATTGTTCTTGGCCTTGTTTTTTTGTTTTTAGTTCATATCTATAAAGAATCAAAATGGCAAAGTTACAGTTGGGGATTTACCACCTTCGATGTCAAAACTAAAGGCTTTCAGTGACAAGCTCAACGAGGAGGAGATCAGGAGAGTGTTGGAAGAATCAAATTCTGATTTTACCAATGAGATTGATTTCGAAGGCTTTCTCAGGGTGAGTTTTCCTATATCCAGTGGATTATTGGCTAAACTCTGCTATCTATCTACATGAAAGCAATGCATCTTCATGATTATTGTTATTGTAGAAGAGTGGTTCTAGCTGTAATATGACTGTGGTGGAAAGGAATTATGAACAATGATGAAAATTTATATTAACTTGTACTAGGATTCTGATGGGCTTTTGCTAACAACTTTTTTGGCACTTTGGATGGGCAGATGTATTTGGATTTACACAATCGAGCTACTGAGAAAGTGGGGAATTCAAAACACTCGTCATCATTCCTTAAGGCCACCACAACCACTCTTCTTCACACTATCAATGACTCGGAGAAGGCATCATATGTTGCTCATGTCAACAGCTACCTCAGAGATGACCCATTTTTGAAGCAGTTCCTTCCCATCGATCCATCTTCAAATGCTTTATTTGATCTTGCAAAAGATGGAGTCCTACTATGGTATGTAAGCACGGATGCTTCATGTTCCATTTTTACGTGCATTGAATTTTTTGTTTTTTTTTTCAAGTCTTGGCTTGATGTCCTGTGGCCTTATGCAGTAAGCTAATAAATGTTGCTGTACCGGGGACAATAGACGAGAGGGCTATCAACACCAAACGGGTACTCAATCCATGGGAAAGAAATGAGAATCACACACTTTGCCTTAACTCTGCAAAAGCTATTGGCTGTACAGTAGTCAATATTGGTACTCAAGACTTGATTGAAGGAAGAGTGAGTGGAACCAATTTGCTAATAAGCACGCATAATATGAATATTATTTGCCTCACAAATTTTTATAAATCTTTCATCTTTTCAGCCTCATTTGCTACTCGGGTTAATTTCTCAAATTATAAAGGTTAGTGCCCTTAGTCTTTATTACATTCTGTAGCTTCTTTATAGCAGATAGAAGAAAAAAAGGCAGAAAGAGGAGTATTGCTTTGTATGTTGATGCACATTGTTAAGTAAGTTTAGTCTTACTGGTTGATCTATTCTGATCCCTTAACTTCGGATTGCATTTGCTGGTGGCACTTCAGATTCAACTACTGGCTGATCTCAACCTCAGAAAGACACCCCAGCTGGTAGAACTGGTGGAAGACAACAACGTAATTAACAAGATATCCCTTCAAATCTCGATAAATTTTCAGTGTCAATTTTTTCCCTTACCAAAGGTGCAAGTTGGAATTCAGCCCAATACGTGCAACTTATCAGGTTTCTGTATTATTTCCAGGATGTTGAGGAGCTTATGGGACTAGCTCCAGAGAAGGTATTGCTTAAATGGATGAATTTCCATCTCAAGAAAGCTGGCTACGAGAAAACTGTAACGAATTTTTCTTCGGACGTGAAGGTATGTCTTTGTTTGGAACTTTGTATTATGCCTTTTTTTGTGGGGGTGGCTGGGTGTCCAAGTACAAGAATTTCCTACATGTTTGTTGTCTTTTGAGGACAAACGAAATTTTTGAGAGGGCTAAGAAGTTTTTCCGCTAGGTTTGTGCGAGCAAGAACAAAAATTTGCAATCACTTTTCCAAGATTGAGGGTAAAAATTACTGTCTCGATTGGACATGAGGGTTAGTTTTTGGTTTGGAGAAAATATTTTGGGGCTGACAAATAGCTTTTCAGTGCTGCTTTTCTTGAAAATGCATAATCGTAGGAGCATACTGCCCTTCTGCTTAGAATTCCAGTATCGCGAACAGCTTTACATTCTTTTCATCTCCGTAATTGATGGCTATTTTCATTTCTACATTCACATCACATGCTTATGTTCTTCAGGATGGAGAGGCTTATGCTTACCTGCTTAATGTACTTGCGCCGGAACACTGCAGCCCTGCCACCTTAGGTGCCAAAGATGCCACCGAAAGGGCTAATTTGATTCTTGATCATGCAGAGAGAATGGACTGCAAAAGATATATATCTCCAAAGGATATAGTTGAAGGGTCGCCCAATTTAAATCTTGCATTTGTTGCGCAGATATTCCACCAGAGGTAAGAAATTAACTCTATTGATTATGGTAACTGGAGATATTTTAATTTTGAAAGCTATTTATTCTTTTACTGCCATGGCTACGTTTCTTGGGCAATGAAATTATGTCTTCGTTTGGACAGAAAAAGAACAATAATGAACTTGTGTTACTGCCACTAAGTAGCGACTGTTTTTGCAGGTCATGTTCTCTCTGTCTATGCATGCCTCCCTCTGAAACCCTTTAAAATGTTCAACCATTTTACCGTTACATCGCATTACACATCTGACATTAAAATTTCTTAGCTTGAAATTTACTGCTGCTATTATTTTACAAATATTGTGGGATGAAGGTCATTAGCCATCAACATGATACTTAGTTCTTAAATATTATTTTGGAATGCTTAGTAAATTTTCAGGTAATCACGCCTAGAAACTATAAACAAGGCACTCATTGGTAGCTCGCACGATGAAAGAACCTCTACTGCAATTAAGTGTGTGTTTGGGTTATAATCCTTGTAAGGAGATTATAATGAGAGGAGTAATGGGTCATATGAAATGTGTGGATAATAAGTGGGCAATAGTTGTAATTGTAGTCAAAATTAAAGTTTGACCAAAAATTGTAAGTAACTTGACAATGTTTCCCACACATACTCTAAGCTTATTTTAGAACCTTGAGTAGTAATATTGTTCAGAAAATCTTTCTGTTTTTCTTTAATTTGATCTTGCTCTCATATTTGTTACCATGTGTCTGAAAAAGTTTTTAAGGAATTGTTTTTTTCTCAGGAATGGCTTGTCTACAGACAACAAAAATATCTCTTTTGCAGAGATGATGACAGATGATGAACTAATATCTAGAGAAGAGAGATGCTTTCGCTTATGGATCAATAGTCTGGGAATTGCCTCTTATGTCAATAACTTGTTTGAGGATGTTAGAAATGGGTGAGTTTTTCATCTATATGAAAATGTTGTACATTAACACGAAACAATGCAAAATTCTAGGATGCATCGACACCCTCTGGGCACCAACGAGTTAGTGTCCGGCACGTTGAAATCACTAGGTGGCATGTACAAATTATTTTTTGGTTTTGTACAATTGGACTCGTCACCGAAACAAATTCCCACACTCCGGGAGATGCATAGTGTCCGTGTCCAACACGGCATCGAGAAACGTCAGGTGGCGTATCCAAGTTATCTTTTGGTTTACTACCAGTTAGACATGTTGTCAACACATTGCTGATATGTTGGGAGATACATTGTCGATACGCAAGATACATTTTCGATACGTCGAAATGAACAAAAATAAATTTACTTTAAAATATAAAATATGAAGAATGAAAACAATAAAAAAAATTATTTAATCAGCATGTCGTGGACGTGTCATGTCTGTACTATTTTGAAATATTGCATGTTGGCATGATTGTTTCATGTCCTAAAATAATATCCGTATTGATGCTTCCTAGTTTTGAAGTTGTTTAATCAGACCTACCATCTGTTTTGGAGTTCACTCCTTCGGACATCAGAATTACCAGTTTCTTAAATTTTGTAAACCTGTTACATCTGCAGGTGGATCCTTCTGGAAGTGCTGGATAAAGTTTCTCCAGGATCTGTCAACTGGAAGCAGGCAACCAGACCTCCTATAAGAATGCCATTCAGAAAAGTAGAGAATTGCAACCAAGTCGTTGGAATAGGGAAGCAGTTGAAGCTTTCCCTAGTCAACGTAGCTGGGAATGATTTTGTACAAGGGAATAAGAAACTCATACTTGGTAATGAGCTCATCTTGCTCTATTAAGAAAATGAACTTGTCATTTGGGTCTTTTAGTTTGAATTACACCAACTGTTCATGATTACTTGAATAACCAGTATGCAAAGTAAATAAGAAATAACAGCATTTATTTGGTGCTAAACAAACACGCAACTGTAAAAGTGAAAGAAACCAAATTTTCTGACTAAATCAGCCAAAAAAGGTTCGAAACCAGATATGGCATGGATGGTACCCTGAGTACCTGATTTCATTTTTCTATTATTCTTTATTGACTTTTGTTTTGATGCAGGATTTTAATGCTGCACGATTGATTTGTTTCCTGTATCATCCGATATATTGTTGTGCTAACTGAAAGAGAAAAAAGATTTAGGGAGTGTTTGACACCCATTATGGGTTGAAAAATTTTGGAATAGTGATTGATGGAAGAATGTATGGTGGAAAAGTGATGAAAAATTTTAGATTTGTGTGTAATATTATTTTATTTGGAGATTGTATGGTTGAAATGAAAAAAAAGAATGAGAATGAGAAAGAGAATGAGTGCCAAACAGGGGCTTAAAGATGTGTATGTGATAAGACAGATGGACTTCCAATTTAGAAGCCATTGGTCCATGGAATTGACTTCTTATTGGCCCCCGTTAAATGTAAACATGTAGTCTGCTGAGTCTAATTTGGAGTTTCATTTGTATAGTTGTGTCATCCCATTGAAAAGGGAAATACATATTGATTTTTCTTGAATAAACATGAAATTTGAAATACTATTGACTGTGTGAGGTTAGTTCGGTCAAGTTCAGCTAATCAGCATTTTTATTAAGGATAATGCTAGTGGTACATAATTTTGGCCATAACATGTGAGTGTTATGTGAACCCCTATGGATAAAAATTATGTACCCATAGCATCACTCTTTTATTAAATGACAAAGTGGCCAAGCGTTATGGCCTCAGTCACAGAACTTTCTTATGGAAACTATAAAGCCCAATTGAAGTGTTCAGATTGGCAAATTTTTTCTTTCATGCTACATATGATTGTATACAAATTCAATGAGATTTTGGCATGAAGGGATGAAAGATAGCTGATATATATTTGAATGTGTTATGCCACATCACATGCTTGGGCATTCACCTTCTGCTTCTTTGCTTCATTAGGATGTGATTGATAGTTAGGAGTCCACTAGCATTATTTTATTCCTATACTGCTAATATTTTTGTTTCATTGTTTCCTTTGGTTTCTGAACCTCATTTTTCTTCACTTCCTGAACTCATTTTGGTGTTTACCTATTTCTATTTTTCTTTTTCTTTTTTGGATTTCTTTTGGCATGTGATGAGGTTTATACATCTTCTTATTTTAACTTCCTAGACTGGTTTTAGCTTCTGATGAAATTAAAACCAAATATGAAACTAGATAATTTTGTGTGTTAACCTCTTGTTTCTTTCAGCTTTCCTTTGGCAGCTAATGAGGTTCAATATGCTTCAACTCCTGAAGAACTTAAGATCCCGTTCCCAAGGAAAGGAGTTTTCTGACGCTGATATACTGACTTGGGCTAACAAAAAAGTGAAGCATTCAGGCAGAACATCTCAAATGGAAAGTTTTAAGGTTGAGATTGAACACCTTTTTCTTGACAAATTTTCACCAGCAAACTTATCTCACAACACGTACTAATGTGTTAAAAGAAATGACAATTGCTTGGTGATGATGTGTTTTTTGAACGTGTATGTAGGACAAGAATCTTTCAAGTGGATTATTCTTTCTTGAGCTTCTCAGTGCAGTTGAGCCACGAGTTGTTAATTGGAATCTCGTTACCAAGGGTGAAAGTGGTATGTTGCAACTGTAAATTTCTTGTGAAATAATGAACTTGGTAGTTGGACAGGCAAACTCTCAACTGCAGATCGTAATGAAAAACCCTGATTGATTGCTAAAAACTTCAATCTGAAATCTGCAGTGAATATGCGGGGGATGTAAGAACTATAATGGGTGGTCCTTACTTCTATAGTAGTGTAAATGCCTTTGCTAGATTGTAGTACCAGAACTTTCTGGTAAGAAACTTTGTTACGGCCCAACATTATTCAGAACTGGAAGATCTTTTGGAAAGCTTTGAACATATTCCAGGGTTCATTGTGACTATTGTAACTTCGACCAACACACAAAGAGTTTACCACTGTGGAGCAGCCTGGAAAATGGTTTCATCACACTTTTTTCTCCTTTCTCTGAACCAGATAGTTTCTCAATCGACAAGAAAATGAATAAGAGTTTTTTCAGTTTTCTGCAATTTTTTTATCATTCCTCAGTGGAATTAATCCAATATTAGTTTACACTTTATACTCGATTAACATCTTCAGTATGGAGAGTAATGTACTTTCTTTGGCGTTTCCTTGTTTTGTTTATTTTATTTTTACTTTTAAATTTAGTGTCAGCATCGACTACGATTTGGAATTAACACAAACTGTATATTGGGAATTTGACTCGACCTTTTTAATTCTTGTGGCAGATGAGGAGAAGAAGCTGAATGCTACTTATATAATCAGTGTTTCCAGGAAGCTTGGCTGTTCCATCTTCTTGTTGCCTGAAGATATCATGGAGGTGAGAAATACAATTTCAGTCATCACATTTTCTCGCGGGTGATCAGATTTTTCAATTTCTTTCTTCATTTCAAAGTGAGCAGTCTGCTCCACAATAGTGTAGGGATACTTTAAAATGATTAAGTGCTTGTTTTTGCCACTACATGTATCTGAAAACAACAGCAAATGGACAACACATTATCCACAAAAGGTGGAAAACATTGTAGTCACTCAATCTATAGGGAAGTTTATCCATATTTATCAGATTTATTTCCTTAATAAGGAGTCTCCACGCCGGATATTCCATCAGCAAAACTAGCAGATTTGATTGAGTTACCTTTCTAAACCAAAAAACAAACTTTAGTAACCACTTTGGAATAAAGAAAGTTGGTTAACTTAAAGCATGTTTGGGAGTGCTTTTAAGTGATTATAAGTTGTGGGTCCTATGAAATGTTTGGATATTTAGTAGTTGTGTGTCATACTAAATGTGTGGATAAAAGAATATGTTTGACCAGCTTAAATTTTAGTTTAAGCTCTCGAAAACATGCACTTGCATTGTATGTTGAGTGGCAAACAGTGTTATATTTAAGCTCTCGAAAATATGCACTTACATTGTATGTTGAGTGGAAAACAGTATTTTTACCTGATGCATAGATGATGCTTTTACATGTAATTTCACAGGTTTCAGAAGCTGTTACAACATGCTGTTTTGCATTTATTCAGTAGTTTAAATCAGAAAATCTTTTATATCTTCATTTTGTGTGATTGTCGAAAGGTTTAGGGTCGTGTTTGAATTGTTTCTTCTGATCATGTGGAGTTTGAGATAATACTGTATCCTGACATCACATTTGCTGATGCTATGTCAGGTAAACCAAAAGATGATCCTTACTCTTACCGCAAGTATAATGTATTGGAGTCTTCAGCAACCTGTGGACGAGCAGTTGTCCCCATCGCCTGCTGCTTCTAGTCGTGGTGCATCACCGGAACCTTCCATTGATGCCACCCCATCTCCTGCTGCAACTGCCTTTTCTGATGGATCACCTTCACCTTCAATTCATGGCACTCCATCCCTGGATTTTTCCACCACTCCCAGTTCATCCCCTGGGCTCCCTCTTAATGGTTCTTTTTCCAACGATGCAACTGCTCCTCCCGAGGCATCCCCGTCACCATCCTTGAGTGGAGACGAAGGTAGCTCGCTTGCTGCTGAAGTATCAAATATGACCATTGATGATGCAGACTCTGATTCTACAACCTCCGTTCCACTAGTAGACGATGCAGCCTCTGATACTGCTACATCTACCCCACAAGTAGAAAAAGAGGGTACACAATTACAAAGTGAGCTATAGTTGCAGGGCAAATGCATACAATAGGAATATGTTTTGTAGGTCAGTTTGATGGACTTTAAGCCCGTCTTTGTCAAATGTCAAGTTATACATACAGAGATGTGCTCCGAGGTACAATAATGTTTTGTCTTTCAAGAAAATGAATTTTTTTTTTCACTTTCAATCATTTGCAAGTAAATTTGCATTTTTTATAGATGAAATATTTATTATAAATATGTAACAAAAGCTAGATCACAAGTGTAAGATCTAGTGAAGTAGCCAAATATTAACAGTTTAGTGGCAGAATTTACTGTGTACTGATATATAAAGAACTGTCTGGTCATGTATTTTGATTTTAATCCACCTGTTCTTGTGTAATACTCTATATATAGAATTTGATGCATGAATTTAGAATTATGACACAGATGTTCTTTTTCCCCTTTCTCTTCCATTGTACACATGAACTTCAACTGCTCCTTCAAGCTCGAGATTTGAATTTCTTCACAGTAGTGGCCACGACGAATGACTAATTTAGTTTTTTTGTTATTCCTAGCATCTATTGCTCAAGAAATGACCTTTATGTGTCAACATTCTAAAAGAAGCACTTGTCTACTTCAGAAACCTAGCTTTCATGTTAAACTTGTGCCCTCAACACACTTTTGCAATTCAACCTATACAAATATAAAATATAGTATATAATAGAACGAAAACTCAATACTTAGGATATGATTTATAGATTATATACCTCCATTTACTCCTATTTTCATTAAATTTGGATAGAATCGGGTAATATTAATTATGTTCAAGTTACGAGAAAAGTTTCAATAGACAATCATATATGAACACGTAGTAAAATTGTTCATTCAAATCACGATATCTTGTACATTAAGCCATTCATAATGCAACACCCCAACATCTTACATCCACTTTATTTATCTCTTACCACTCCAGGTGTCGAGATATCACATTTTCAATGACTTAATGTCTGGAGTATCGTGATTTGCATGAATTTTTCTGCCTCAGGAACACCCTCAGCCCCACTAACCTCCATAACCCCCAATACACCTCATACAATTGAAGTAAGATATAGAAGAGAAATAGTTACCTCACCTCTATATATATATATACAAACTAGATTGTTTTTGTTTTCGAGAACGGATTATATAATTGTCATAGAACTCGAGTACCAACTGTTGTTCTTTTTAAAGGCTAAAAATTAAATTGTTAGTCAAGTAATACGTCAAGGTAAATGCTACGATTTTCCTCCTCAATAAAAATAATTTTTATTATTCTAATTTAAAAATATTGGTTTCCAATTTAGTCAAAATCAAACATTAATTTAAATAATATATTTATAATTCCTATTCTTTATTATCCATGTACCAACCACTATATCATTTATTATTTTTATTTATAAACTATTTATAAATTTGCCAAACACATACTAAAATTACATGAAAATTACGAACAAAGAAAAATGACAAAAATATAAAAAAAAAAAAAATCCCAAATAAATCCAGAAAATAAATTCTGCGCACGCAAAAAACAGTAAAGTACACTCCCAAATAAAATATAGAAAATATATTAATCTGAGCCCTAACTGTCTTTTTTATTTTTTCCTTCTCTCTTTCTCTTTCAATCCACGCTGAAGTATTTTGGGACACTGAAACTAGCGGCATTGATGGCTGCAATTGGCCTCACAAATCCATCTTCGGAGCTGACGTCATCTCTCCATTCAACGACATCCATTTCCATAGGCTTCTCCCTATTGAGGTCGAAAAATGCATGTAGTTGCGTCTCTTTCCCTACGACTGGCCGGAGTGGTCTATCCGGACGACGCCGTTTGGGGATTTGTAGCTCCTTCACTCAAATGGAATCCGCCAAGATTAAGGTCGTTGGCGTTGGTGGTGGCGGGAACAATGCCATTAATCGCATGATTGGCAGTGGCTTACAGGTTACCGTATCTTATTTTTTCTTTTCTTTTTTGTTGTTATAATGGTTATTTTTATTCGAATTGACATTTTTGTTGCCGTTAGCTTCTAAATAATGCTTAATTAAATGCTGATGCTGAGTGTTGAGGTATTTTGTGTAGGATTCAGCTATTCTTCGTGAATTTGTAAATGAACGAGATGCAAAAGGAACCCTGTTACTTCTTGTAAATGTTACAGCTTATCACACAAACTGGAGTATATATATACACACACGCGCACATAATGACTATGTTGTGAGCGGAATTTCATGGTAAAATCAATGCCAGGACATTATTTACCCCACTATGGTTATATGAACGGTGCAGTTTGATTTGGCTTGGTTTTAGATTATAAATATTGGAATATGTCGGATTTTAATTTGTATTTACAGTTGTGATGCCTCTGGGTTAGGTTGTCATACTATCAGGTTAAGTTATAGTATCCCTATGTGGACGTGCTAATAAGTATTAACTTTCTGCTTCTTTAGTGTTTGCATTCTAAGAATGTCACAATATATTAATATTTTTGTGTTATTCTGGAAGTTTAGCGTCAAGCTAATATCAATTGTTCTATGTCCATCTATATATGTAACGTAATCCTTCTTTAATCTAGTTTTGTTAAGATTTTTGTGCTCCCTTCTTCATATATTTTGACAAAAGAACGAGAACTCTGAAGTGTTTAGAATTTGTGATTATGTTCGTACTTCAGACATCTTCCACTGCATGAAAATTGGAGCACCTTTTCTCTTATATTGAATAAATGTAAATTTCTGGTAACAATTTTTTCATTGCATGTTTCATGACAGGGTGTCGACTTCTACGCCATAAACACAGATGCTCAGGCACTGTTTCAATCTGCTGCTGAGAACCCTCTTCAGATAGGGGAGCTTTTGACGCGTGGACTTGGTTTGCAAACTCATTATATTTTCTGACATTATTATTTTGAAAACTTGAAGTTGAGATATATTACATAGTGCTATTGGAAATTAAATTAAATAACAAATTTTCTTATGAGATGCAAATTACTCTACTACTACCTTTCAAGATTGGTTTGATGGTATTGCCGCTTCAATGCATTGACCGTGAATATGTTTCTACAATTAATTGTAAGAATTACAGTTCTAGAGATGCAGGTACTGGTGGCAACCCGCTTTTGGGGGAACAGGCTGCTGAGGAATCAAAGGAAGCAATTGCAAACGCTCTCAAGGGATCGGATATGGTGTTTATAACTGCAGGGATGGGTGGGGGTACAGGGTCTGGTGCAGCTCCTGTTGTTGCTCAAATATCAAAGGAAGCTGGCTATTTGACTGTTGGTGTAGTTACCTACCCATTCAGCTTTGAAGGACGTAAAAGATCCTTGCAGGCAAGTGCCATTTCCAGTTTCTATGGAACAAGAAGTTTATCGTTTATCTCAAACTAATGTTTGTGCAGTATGTGCTTCCTCCTGGATTATAGAAATATTATATTCTCATTAACCTGTACAACAATATTACCTGTTGAAAGGATACACATATATGCTAGGGGTGATGGCGGCTATCTACTGACAATTTAGATAACACGACATACATGATAATATGTTTTCTCATGCCCTGTGTAATGGAACTTGTAAAGTTCTCTCTCTCTAAAATAATGATACAATCTTGAGAAATTGGAAAATTTTTCACCAAATTCATTATCACATTAGAACACTTGAAAATGAAACCGATGTTGAAAATACTATAGTTTTCAATTATCCTCGCATATCTCTTCCACAAGTTCCAAAGTGGTAATATTTCGGGCATTTGGTGAAACGTCTGAATTTTGAATCATGCCTGTGCCCGAACGAAATGCTTTTGGACTGCTCTTTTGGTATGCATGTGGTATTTCTTTCATTTTAAGATCTATAGAGCGATGGTCGCATTAAGCCCTTGTTTGATGCCATTAAAAAGAAATTTTTTGGGGAAATGAGTTTTTGAATGGTGATTTTTTTGGGAAATGTGTGTTAAAAAGTAGTGAAAAGTTTTGGGTTTACGTGCAAAATATTTTATTGTAAGAATGTGTGGTTGAAAATGAATTTTAGAAAAAAAGTTTTTGAAGAATGGTAGACAATTAGGGGCTAAATACCTAGATCTTGGATTCGTAGAAACTGCTCATCTCTCTCTCTCTCTCTCTGTATTTGTGTGTTTTTATTCGGAGAGGAAGGAAGTGGAGGATGGAAATTTGTTCCTTAACGGCACCCTTTCCTTTGTAATCTTGGCAGAGTCACACCTGTGATTTTTATTCCACTAATACTGACATCAAAAGATAAATTAATTTATCATTTCTTGGCAATAATGGATGTGGCATTCTTATGTACCATAAAGTGAAATTAGAAATGCCTTGAACTGGTCCTTTAGAGGCATGAAAATTCTTAGGCATGTATATTTTTAACTATTAGATTCACCTTGATTGTGAAGGTTAATAGAATAATAAACAGTTGAGCCTTGGCTTTGGTCATTATAAATACCGTTTCTTGTTTATTATTACCTGTTAGATTCACCTAGATTATGGAGGTTCATAGAATAATACACTGTTGAGTCTTGTATATCACTTTTCTCATCATAAATACTGATTCATGGTGAGATGCAAAATTCTCTGGTGTCAAATTTACTATAAAATTTTATCATTTAAAACCTTAGTTTCATTTTTCAACTGTTTTCAGGCTCTGGAAGCTATTGAAAAACTCCAGAAAAATGTGGATACACTGATAGTGATCCCAAATGATCGTCTGCTGGATATTGCTGATGAACAGACTGCCCTGCAGGATGCTTTCCTTCTAGCTGATGATGTGCTGCGCCAGGGTGTCCAAGGGATATCAGATATAATCACAGTGAGTGATTTTATGAAACCATGTTCTTTATGAGGTGTTGAATCTTGACGACCTGCAGTTCTTTTTAGCTCTATAACAAAATTTTGACATTTACTGAAAGCTTGCGCATCACAATGGAATGTGTTAATTTTTCCTTTCTTCATGTATGCCATGCTTTGATGCCAAAGTAACTCAGTAATGAATGTTGGAACTTGGAATTTTGATAACACTCAAAATCTGTAATAGTTTTAAAATATCAATGCAGATTGCTGCTCTCAAATTCCATATAGTGGCTTTAGGCCACATTTTGTGATAGACCTTCCATCAATTTTAAAATGAATTTTTTTAAAAAGGAAGTTTTGATATAAATTTATTTATTGGTCAAAGTTGGCAATAAATAAGTTGCTTATTTTTACAATAGCACAAGTTTTTTACTTGAAAACTTAAAACTAAGTTATTCAAACATGTTTAGAAACGAAAGTTGATTAAATTAACTTCACTTTTTTTTAAAGCTTAGCCAAAGTTTATGCGTGTGGCTGAGACAAACTAATGGACGAGCCTTTTCCTTTTCTCGTTTTTCAGATACCTGGGCTGGTAAATGTGGATTTTGCCGATGTTAAGGCAGTGATGAAGGATTCTGGTACTGCTATGCTTGGCGTGGGTGTTTCCTCCAGCAAGAACCGTGCTGAAGAAGCAGCAGAACAGGCAACTTTGGCTCCTTTGATTGGCTCCTCCATTCAATCTGCTACTGGAGTCGTATATAATATTACTGGCGGAAAGGATATCACTCTGCAAGAAGTGAATAGGGTGTCGCAGGTAATGTAGAGCTTTTTAATCTCTCTTTCGTAGCAAGTGCATGTGATCTTCCTCAAAACAGTTAAATTGAAAACTTGGGATTTTGCATAGCACGCCTGAATTGAATGCCTATAAACCCTCGGGTTTGTGATTGTGAGTTTGGGATATGGCGTTTCATATATTTATTTTCATCCATCGGTTTCCAGGTTGTTACCAGTTTGGCAGATCCTTCTGCAAACATCATATTTGGTGCTGTTGTAGACGAGAGATACAATGGAGAGATACACGTAACCATCATTGCGACTGGTTTTACACAATCATATCAGAAGTCTTTCCTTTCCGACCCAAGAGGAGCAAAGCTAGTCGATAAAGTTGCAGGGAGCCAAGAAAGCACAAAATCTCCCATCTCCCTCAAGACATCAGCCTCAAATTCCAGTGCTCCTCGTCTATCTCCTCGAAAGCTCTTTTTTTAGTCTGTCTTTACTCTATTTCTCATTTTCATTTTTCCATCATGTTTATTTAATTTCCTTCCAATTAGTAAGGGGCAAAGCTGCATCTTATGACTTAAATTGATTTTGTAATATCGTCTGCATCGAATGCATTTTTATTGTACCTTTCAGTTTCTTATCTCCATGATAATTCTTTAACCAAAAATAGGATTAAGGGACCGTTTGATATGACTTCTATCTTTGCTTTTACTTCTTGTAAAAGAGCTGTTTGAAAAAACTATTTTAGATCAACTTTTTCTAAATGCCCTTTTAGTCATACAAGTACTTCTAAAATAATATTCAAACAGGTTTAAAAGCAACTTTTTAATCTCACGAGCAATTTTGACTTTTCAAAAGTGTTGCCAAACGAGCCTTAAAACATCAATAGTGTGTGCGTGTACAAAAACCTTTATGCAACAGATGACATTATCAACTAAATAATCATCCACAACGGAAGAGAGAGCAAGATATAAAGGGCCAATTTATTAGCACGGCCTTTACAACAGGGTAATGGTGAAATGTGTATAATTGCATTTTCTTCCATTTAGAAGGTCTTCTATATGGTTTGTTTGGCAGAGATTTTTCCCCAAAGCCAAACCTTTTAGGGATCCACAATCGTTCCTCACTTTCTAACCACACATTCCCCAAAAAATCAATTTTTTACTTGGAAAATTTTCTGCCAAACAAACACTTAGCTTAAAAAGTCAAATATATTAAAGACCTATCAAGAAAGGTTAAAGGGTATACTGTGATTTTGGAAACTTCTGCGTTGCTAAAAATGAAAAGTACATCAGAACCACAAACTAACCTAATGAATATGTTAATTAACTTAGAAAATTTGGAAAAGCTTGACAGAAAATTTATCCAAACAAATTACATCATTTTCACAAACAAGGAATCCAAACAAAGAGGAAATTAAAAATCCACGCGACTTTACAAATAACACAGCCATTCCACACCCATTCTTCTTCTTTCCGACACATCAATGTTAAATTTTTATCCAGGACAAAAGGACAGCAGAAAGTTCCAATTCCACATTTCTCTATATTACAAATACTTGATCAGCATATATATAGCAGCAACCAAAACAACAATCCCAATTACGGATAAAAGCAGACACAAGCAAGAACAACCACCCTTTGTGCGTTTATTCAATATTGCAAGCCTCTTCTGCACCCGCTGTTTGCATTAGGGAGAAAACCGACAAAATAAAGTAAGTGGAATAGACATGTAGAAAATTAGCAAGTAAATACTTATCAAGTTGCGAAAATTCCCCGAGTTAACAAGATTTCCATTAATAATACTTCACGCGAGAGTCAAAATAACCAAAATGCATAGGCATGATATGGTCTAAACCTAGTTCACGAACATTTCCTTGAAACCGGCTCTCACACACCATGTTTGGCTAAGCTTAAAAGTTAACTTATAAATCACAAGTTTTTTTAAAATAAACAATTTATTTATTGATAAAGTACGAGTTACTTTCAAAATAAATAACTTTTTTACTTAAAAAGTCAAAAGTCAGAAAAAATAAGTTATCCAAGCATATTTTAAACTTACCCTTTTTTGACTTAGCTTTATTTTATGTCTATATGTTATTTATAATATAAAAAGTCTAGCATACTTCAGCAATGATGAGGAGTCTATCCTGTAATGTCACTACTAAGAGGATCAAAATGCGCAAAGACATTAACCTGCGTTGACCACATGCTATGAAAGATAATGCCAAAATTCTATTCACCAGCTCGAGGAGGTTTTATTACAATTCAATCAAATGTTACTAGACATAAGGGTCACCTGTAGCCGGGAGTCTGTGACATCAACATGTTGGTCCAGATTATCCTGCACAGAATGACATCAAACAGATAGCAGTTCATTGTGATATGTGAACTACAAAGGACTAGCTTTCGTGTGAGGAAAAAAGCGCGTTATAATACAAGAACACTCACAATTAGCCTTGTATGCAGATCAAGCTCCTCATTGACTGCCAACGCTATATGTTTAGTGCTTATAACCGTCTCCTCCAATTTTTCAAGGCCATCGTCTTGTTCTGCACAAAGATACGAAACAGAAAAGTCATCATATATTAAGAAAGATAAAGAAAAAATAAGATGAATAAAAGATTTATAGCCACTAGCCTTTCATGATTTGTCGTTGAAGACCAACAACACCATCGTTGTCAAGCCCAGTTATTCTGCTCATGGCATCAGCTGGTTTAATTTCTGGCCCAAGTAAGCTGTCCCTATTTGCAAAGTTTGACATGTTCAATGTGGAAGCCATCTGGTTTACTTTTGAACTTAGATTTGCAACCATATCTTTCCGCCGATTCATTTCTTTCTCTGTCCTGCATTTGAGTACGAGCAGGTTCAAGAGCCATACAAAACCACAACGAGGGAAAACAATGAGAAATTTAATGATCACATAAAACCAAATCTTAGGTCTTTCTATCAATTAACCAAGGGTATCTCCTCCTCCTCCTCCTCCTCCTTTTTTAACAATATAATGTACGTCTTTGTTAGAGTTAATATATGGATTAATTAGATTATAGTTTAGGTCTGTTATAGAATATAGCTAAGTCACTTATTCTAGAATATTGCCGAGTATCGTTCTTTAGCATATATGATTGTTGAGAGTTTGTTATGACAGGTGTCCTTACTGTATAGGCCAAGGTGATTATTCCTTTCCATATAAATGTTTGTACAGATGGTATTTCATCGTCGTCCTGAGGAATAATATACAAAAGTGCTCTTTATTAATTCTCTGCTTTTATAAGGTAAATGAATAAGTGCATCATATCTCTTAAGTTGAAGCGAGCGTGCAAGTTTAGAGCAGCAAAATATAAATGCAATCTACAAATTATACATGGGTTCAAGATTCGACTACTTAATTCAATAGAACTTAAGATTATTCCTTGAAAATATAATAAACAATTCAGAAGGATGTTCAATTGAGACAACTTACAGAGGTTGCTTTCCAGGAAGCTTTGAAAGAAGAGACTGTAGGCTATCGAGCCTGGTTCCGAGTATGGTAATTTTCCTACGTATGGCAGATGAATGTCGCTGTGCTTCTGGCCCTGTGGGGGGCAATGAACTCCTTTCTGATATCATGTTAGTGATGTCATCGGCAAGTTTTACTGCTTCATTGTACTCCCTTACCCACGAGTCCCCAGAAGCTGCCATTGTCTGTAATTAAGACAACATAGTTTTCTAAACTGAGCACCTTTACTAAGTAATAAGTATTTCAGTAATCGAGAAGGCAACTAAAAAAAAGCTAGTCAATTGATAATCTATCACAAATTAGGTAGGAACAAAATCATGCTATAAGCTATAGATATACAAGTCTTTGTGCATGTTTGTCGAAGCTTATAAATGCTTAAAAGATGGTCAAACTCAATTTTTATCCACACTTCCTAGGAACCACATCATTTACCTGCTTTTTAACCACACATTCATTGGGACCCACGGCTTAAAAGCACTTCAAAGCTTAGCCAAGTAGTTTTGAGGTTACTATGAATATAATCATGAAAAACCGCAAAAGTAAGCACCACATTCAAAAAAATTGAAATATCCAAAAATTAGCATCCAAGATCAAATCAATGCCCCACTATTTCTATCAGTAGATTCCCCGATTCTCAATTTTATGCAAAGCAATTAACATATTTTCTTATTGTCTCATAGTACTATTGAGAAATTTTGATTGAATTAAAACAGATGATCAAACAGCTGCCACCAATTAATCACATAAATTAATTAATATAAGCCATAAATAAGCAGCATAAAAGAATAACTTTCCACCAAACAAAAAGGAAAACGCAGTCAATAAATTTCGAACCGAATCGTACAGCCCAATCAGTAATTCATAAATACACAAAGCAAACACATTAAAAAGGTCAAATTTGAGTTAAAATCGGAAGAAACGCGGCTGAATTACAAGTGATTAGGTGTTCAACCGCCACAATTGAATTAGGGCTTAAAAAAAGATTAAGCTCTGTCAAATCTTAATCGATTATCGAACTTATTACGATAAATGAAAATAAAAATAAAAATTGTGATACTGATGAAGATGAAAAAGGCGGAATGCATTACCTTTTGATTGGAAACGGAAGCGGAGATCTAAATAGCAGAATCGTAGTTTATGATGGGATGAATAATTGGAAAGTTGACGATATTTAGAAAGATTCAAAATGGGACGTGACAGGCGGCGCCACCGATTACCGGCAAGTTTTGTCCGATGTAATCGTCGTCTTCACCACCGCATTCAGACAAGAAATCATTAATAATTAATGTTGGACAGCTCGTTCGCGAAATAAAAGTATGAGAAACTTGCGTTTCAGGTCCCCAATCTATTATTTTAGTGCAATTTGATCCTCATCTTTAAAGTATTGCAATTTAATCTTGACTTTCCATACCTTTTGCAACCTTAATTTTTTTTTTTTACGAGATAATCTTGTGCCCTGCATGTCTTGTCCATCCAACTCACATAAATTGCGAGCTTAAGTAGCTTAACATATCCTATTTGTTCGGCTCAATTCATTGCACACCACTTTTAGCCCCGATTTGATCATAATTCTTTTAAAACTCATTTTTCCCAAAACTCATTTTTAACTATATATATTTTTTACAAAATAAATTTATATGTAAACTCCAAATTTTTCTTTACTTTATATTAAAAGATAAGTGAATATTAGTGTCAATAGGAAAATTGCTTGTTGTAATAGTTTAGTCATGTTTCTAAATTCTTATATTTAATAAATTTAACACGATAATCAATTACTTCAAGAGTTCACAAAGTCCACTCGGATCCTTTTTCATTGGAGTTTGTATTACCTGTTAAGGATGAAGATGATTAGTTGGGTAAGATTGAATTGGTCTCGTAATGGAATCAATTGCATCTGCAATAACAAGGTTTAAGATTTTTGTTTGTTGCCTGTTGGGGGCAAGAATATGCTATGCAACACTATTTATTATGTTGCAGTATAGACTTTA